ACACAAACTAGAATAAATATATACATGATTAAGGTGACTTCATTAAAATTAAAATTAAAGTTAAAACATTATGGATAAAATAAGCTAATTATTGATAATATAGTTCCATGTCATAATAGCATTTGTCTGTTTAAAAAAATTATTTGGTGTTAAAGCGCTGCTCCAAATATTTATAATTTGCTATTTTCCTCAAATTGATGATAAATAAGTAAACATAAAATCATTTTGATGTCCAATTCATCTCTTAGTCACTTTTGTTATAGTAAGGTGGATGTCTGTGTTTATTTGACTCCACTCCCTGTGTGTTTCGGTGCTCCCTCAAGGGTGAAATTCTCCCCGTTCCAACTGCCTTCTCTTCATGGCTGACGTAATGACGGAACCGGTTGAAAAACCTCAAAACGAGGATTCTGTGATCATTCGAGTTATAGGTTTGGCCTTTATTCGTTTACTCCTTCAGCTGAAAAAGTTCCTGGCGAGGTCAAGTGGTATAACATGGAAAAGCGATATGGATTCATTCAGCGTGAGGATGTAGACGAGGATGTATTTGTTCATAGGTCAGGAATACTCAAATACAAAAACACTCCATGTCTGTGGAAGGGGCTTAAGGTGGAATTCTCTGTGGTTGAAACTTCCAAGGGTATTAAGGCGGAAAGTGTGACAGGCCCAAATGGCGAAGAGATCGCAGTCAGTTTTGCCCTTTTTCTCCTTTTATTTTTCTGTAAATTGGGCTAAAGCTCGCCCTCTTTGTAATTCAGCGCAGGAGGGTCCGTCGAAGCATTCGTAATCAAGAAGAGGGCGGCGGTGATGGAGAGTATAGGAGGCAGCGCAGGGGGCCTGGACGCCCAAGACCTGGAAATGAGGAAACTGATGGGGTAATTATATGATGTTTCTGTTGAGAAATTTGATTTAATTCCTTAAGCCTTTATTGCTCTTGCTTGCTCTATCTAGTCTGCAAATAGTCAGCTATATTTTTCGATTAGTTATGTATCTTTATTCGTATCATTGTTTTTGTTTTATTATATAGACATTTTATGATCCGATGGGTCCTTATAGTCGTTCTCGCAACAGGCCGGACGAAAATGGAGATCAGGAAGAAGAATTGCCTAATATTAGGGGCGGGCGCAGGGGTCGTGGTAGACCTAGAGGCGGTCGAGGTATGCGATCTTATGGACAGGGAGGCGGTGATATCGACGAGCAGTATGCAGAAGAGAATTACCAAAATGGAGAAAACAACGGCATGGCACCTGGTCCCAGAATTAGACATCGTAGGCCACGAGTTCGTCGCAATGATCTTAATATTCAGGAAGGAGACAATGCGTGCCCTGAGGGAACCGTATTCAACATTAACGGAATAAACAAGTCTGAACGCAGGGGTATTCCAAGGCGAAGAGGCAATAGAGGTTAGTCAATTGGTTTGCTTACTAGCAGACACTTCCCATAGCCTTATATAAATCCATGCTTCAATGATCGGCTATCCTTTATGACTAATAAAAATCTCAATTTGACACCCATTATTTTAATTATGTGGGAACTTGAGTCACTTTGAATCGAATATATTGCTATAAGTTGATGACTACGTTTTACGCATTTAACTAAATAGACTATACGACATTGGATCTTAGCATAATGTATCAGAGCTTTTTTTCCATCATGGGCTATATTTTCAACTTTATATTGATTGAATATTAAAGAGGTGTCACGAAACACTATTCGATAGTAATGACAAATCTAAACGTATGGGATGCATTTACTTATAATTTCGTTTAATTTGATGTATAAATGGCTGTTGAGTAGACTATATGTCACTATTTGTTCGATTTTTTTTCGCAACTTGGTCATATTGGTAGGAAGACCTAGAGGAACACACCTAGTCCGAAGTTCACAATATGGATAATAATTTTCAGAGTAGGGCCGTGGACGTGGTACGTTCTCATATATTTCACCGGCATCGCCAGTGAGCATTGAAAGTCTTAGCCCCACACTACAACTCGTCGAGACAAGTGACCAATTATCTGCTGAACAATAATGGTGTCTCTCCCCCTCTGGACTAATCATCAATCCTATATCCTTGTATCGCCTTCACTGTCATCATTTTACTTAATTAAATGTGGTACGGTGTGCAATTTTGAGCTGGCTTTCTTACCACGCATCACCTCACTTCACTCTTATGCTGGGAATGTTGATCAGTCCGTCATTTTTACGCTGTCCTTCAATAGGTCAGATTGTCCTTGCCCCGTAGGATCCATCTACTATCTCCGGTTCAAGTATTTCATTCGACCCCTGTCACTCCATCTGTGTTACTCTAGAAACTGACTTGAGGATAAAGCCTCAGTAATTCTCATGGTCAAGTTCTTTCTTTATTGACCACGTCTATGATAAAACAGGTATACTGTCAGCCAACTAGCTCTAGTCTCCGCCACACCATACCACATTTAAATAAGCAAGTAAAATTGTGATAGTGAAGGGGCGATACGAGGATATAGAATTACTTATTGTTTCAGGGCGGAAGGAGAGATACCATGGCTGTTTAGCAGACAATTGGTCAAAAGGGTCGGCTTCACTTGTCTCTTTCGAGTTTAGTGTGGTGCTAAGACTGACAATGCTGGCTAAACGTATAGGAATCTATCGTGTCCACGGTCCGACTAATGGAATTACCATGCATACTGTGGACTCAGGACTAGGTGCGTTTTTCTATGACTTACTACCTATATGACCAAGTTGCGAAAATAAACGGCGACCATGCACATCATCTTGGTCTATTTACTTACGTGTTAGTTACTCACAGTTTCATCTTCTAAACGCTTTTATCATTTGGAAGGGACTTTAGTTTCAGTCTTGATTGGTTCATCAGAACATTGAAAGGAGATCTAACGCTAGTAGTTCAGCGTATAATCTCGAAATGTTACTATTCCTCACTGCCCTTGGATAACGGGACCGATGCCAATTTCAAGGAAGGATAAGACTTCTAATATCGCATCTTGTGATGTAAGTGTTGATGAACAAAGTTATATTTACTCTAGCAATCGTTTCTAGTGCTTATAAACATTTAGCAAATGTAGATACGAACAGAAATGGATTTCAATGAATCCTGAGATAAATTTGTTTGAGACCTTTATTTCATATGAAAGTGCATGACGAAGAGATTCGTAGGTCGATCTCATCAGCAGAGAACAGATGGATCCCGTAGTACTGCAGCCGTTTGGCTTTTATACGATGTTCCGGTTGACGCAGTTCATGAGACCTCGTTTCGGATGAAAACGGGTTGAACTTCGTCGTATGATGGACATCCTCAGAGCTGTCTCATTCCTGTGAGTCTCACGTTAACAATAGGGCAAGAAGACTATCAGACCTCTTATATACGCTCAATTAAGCAAAAAATTATAACCTAGATAACATTTGAATAAAGGATAGAAACGGCTGATAAATTTATTCCTGTAAAATAATTATGCCTCGGACCTTATTGAGAATATCTCTTTACTGAAGAATAGATGTTCAGACGGAGACCATTTAGTCAAAGCTAGGCAAACTGAAACCTTTTCCCATGTCCTAATTTTACCTTCATGCCTTCTTTCAAAAAATATAAGCGAATTACTAAGAAAGTGGGGGTAAAAGCAGTGTTCAAAGAAACCATCACACTTCTGTTATGCCTTAAGAGAGAAATATGAC